TCAGCTGAGGAGGATAGGTTAAGCCTCCTGTTTGGCGTTTGTGTTACACTTTGGAAAATGAGTTTGCTAATATCTAACAAAAAGGCATGAAAGTCTTTTATTAATTGTTCTGTTCAAAAACTACCAAAAAGTCAAACATCTGATAGATTCCAAGTGATAAAATGTGGGAATTCAAGGAAACAGAAGTAATTTTTCAACAACCGCTTGGGAAAATGCCGCTTCTTCCATCCTCTTTCTCTTCTCCAGTGATGTAATTACTAACACCTAACTGAAGTCATATTATTGATTTGAAGCTAACTCTTGCTGGATTTATCAAAACTTAAAAAAAAAAGATGGTTCAAAATGACAGAGTATATTAGCTACCTTATCACTGATTTTTTAAATCACAGTTCTAACCACAAGGTGGATGGTCATCAGGAAGTATAAACCAGAAATCCTTTAGGACAATATCTTGAGACACAAATGTAAGTCTAGATGATCCCAGATGAAGATCTGATGGAACTACATGACATCAAAGAGGTCCCATTTAGAGAGGCCACAGCCCAAAGAGTATCCCCCAAAGAGCCGTGGACCTGGGGCATAGGCATTTCTGGACAAGGTCTGATGAATATTGTACACTAGAAAGTATCAGCTAATGGAAATCCCAAGTTACGATTTCATGAAGGAGATGGCAACTCAGGGTAATAGCTAGTCAGTCCATTTTAAATATGTGTTTGGGGGAGAGTGGCAGAAGAAAAGGGAAAGAAAGATACTTCAGCATCGTTCTTTGTTCGGCTGTATTTCCCTTTCTGTTTAATCAGTTTCACCTCCTCATAGAATTTTGCTTTGCGGCCATCTTGCAGAAAACCATCAGTAGATCATAGGTAGTCCATTTTTTGCAGTCACTACCAGATGAAAATGTCTTACAGTTGCTTTGAATTTTATAAAGAATCTTTAGGGATCTTTATAAAGAATTGCTACACTCCAATTTGTTACACCACTGATTTGATCTTCCTTTTTTTTTCCAGCATCATCCAGCTCTTCAAGAACTGCCTGTCCTTCATATAACCAGCACTTCTTCCAATGCTTACTAATCTACTGAGCTGAAGAAAAGAACCAAAGCAGGCAGCAAATAGTGACATAACATTCACCCCCTTCATAATCCTCCATTTTAGATCAGAAGTTTCCTCACTCCTGTTCTCCTTATGAATTACAGGTGAGTGTGAGCCAGATAATAAACTGGTTTCCATGAAGATGTATGGAGGAAGAGTTTTACATTAACTACCATAGTTCAGACATTCACTTTAAAAAAGAAAATGCTTTCCTTAGTTTCAGCTCCCACAGAGGTGCAAACTCAACAGTGTATGTTATGACACCTTTTTGATTAAGGTGACATGACTACTTTCACTTTTTTGTTAACAAAATTGCTAATATTTCTATATTCTACACAGGTTAAACTGTAACAGCCTTGTACCTTTGACTTCTGTAGCTGGTTCACCCCAAGCTTGGTATCTTCATTTCAACAAAAATATAAAAATGCAACATTCATGAATGAGAGTCCTTAGCCTTGTAGCAAGGTCAGTGCCAAAATTATAAATGCTTTTATTCTCATGAGCATGCACACTCCTCTATGATTCTAGTTTGGTGGCTTCTGTTTTGCTTGTCTGCTTTAGAAGGCACTTCAAAGACTTCATAATCAACAGGAAGAAGAAGTTTTACATAGTTTTGGTGCAAGTTCAAAAATTGGTCTTGATTTAGTCAAAAGCATATGCACCTCAAAAAATAGGATATCTAGAGCAATTTTAGTATAGAATATCTTCCATGCACAGCTCTTCTACTTACAAACGTGGGGCATATCTTTCTTCCTATGCAGAGCAATGATTCCAGTGCTTCTGTAACTTCTGTATCTTGCCATCTCTGTGACAAAACTAATAACTAGAAACATTAAGAAATAATTTAGCCAGTTTCAACTAGTTTTTATTGAAGATTAATTACCGTAGCTTTCAAACTGGCAAAGACTTGTGCAGCTATAGCCATACTATCAGACAAATTCGGGGACTGGCACTGGAAAGAGACACTTGCTCTAGTGTCTAGAATTTCACTAACAAAATAAACATTATGGTTTCAATTCACTTTAAGGAAAATATACCAACACAAGCAATGAAATTTGACTAAGGTCACTGCAATTAATGGACTGGAATCAGTCAGTATGTAAATGCTGGATAGATATAATCATTCCGAACAAAGTTTGCCATGACTGCAAGATGCTGATCTCTTATGGTTAACACTTAAGATTTAGCCTCCTGGATTTGCATGTGACTGTTTTTAAGAAGAAGTAAGATCCTATTCCCTGGTGTGACTTCCCTCCTGAAGAAGAATACAACTTCAGACGCTTTCATGCAATTCACTATTTCACATCTATGATCCTTCACATGGACACCCTAGATTTAGACAAGGCAAGCCACATGCTGAGCAGCAGCACAGACACAGCATATTTACTACAACACTTCTGTCAGGTAGCTGCCACTCTCATGTTCCCAGCGGTTTTGCCATTTTTTTTGGTGACTGCTCTTGCCACAAAGCACTTACATTGCTCTCTCCTACATCCCTTTGTACTGGATAGGCAAAAGGCTAATGGCTGGCTACTGTTTGCAGTGACTGACAAGTCAGCCAGCTAAACCAGATTTTGCTCTCGAGGCCTTTATTTTTGTTTCTACTTTTTCCTTGGCTGCCAGCTTTCTGGAAGCTCTAGAAAATTATCTATCCTTGAAGCTTTTACTTCCCCATTAAATGTGGCTGTCTTTGTAAGATGCAGTTATATTCACTATGCATAAATGTGAACTGAACCAGGATTATTAATTTCTCCAACATCAGTCACACATCGCATACCCTGGGTCACTCTTGCCTCCATAATTTTTTTGAATGCTATCTCCTTGCAGACGACAGGACTGCAGATATCAGAATGGACAAAGACCCCAGGCTACAGATTCAGTCTGCCTCAGTCTAACAGAGGTGGGGAATACATCTTCAAATACCCAGGGCACTAGCTGAACAAGCCAGACGCTATGAAACACTGCACAGAGTTTTCCTACAAAAATACATGTTTTTCTCTTGTTCTTCTGATCCAATTATTTCCCAAGACATGTCAAAAAAAGCCAAGTATTGGTAAAAATAGAAAAAAATGACCAGCAAAGAGGCAGTTCCCCCTTACTCACCTCATTCCCTCCCACCCCAAGGAAATGCTGGCATCCTGCTGAAGTGATATTTTAGGACATCGTATTTCAACTGTTGTTCTCACAGATAATATAACTTCTAAAGCACTAAAAAGTACAAAACTTGATGCATAAGATAAAAACCATACAGGCACCTCCTCTTCTCTAAGAAAGGCAGCTCAGTAAAATTCTGCCATGGCAAGCAGCACAGAAAATATTTTACTTTCAAATCCTTCCTCATCTAGGACTCACAAAATAGATAAACCAAACATAATAAAGAGAACAAATTAACAAGTGACATTCCATCAGCATGTTGACTGTACTTTTAAATAAAATAACAAAGATAAATAGGTTATAGAAGCACATTTGGATTTTATGAGAACAATATCTAGAATGCTACTTAGTCCAAATCTCCATGTTACAGCTTAGCCCTATAAGCCTGTGGAACAGTGCCCATTTCATGCTTGGAATATTCATATTTAGTAAGAAGATTTTTATTAAGAAAAATAGGTTTAAAAAGCAAAACATTATATTTTTTTCCCCCAGTGTCCTAGATAGATAGTTGAATTATTCATATTCAAAGAAGAGCTATGGATTTTGCCTTTTTTCTTTCTTTTTTTTAATTATATCTATATAACTTGCAGCTGGTAGTCTACAAAGGGTTGTAGGGGACACATAGCCCAAAATACTAGCACTTTGGAGCTAAAACAGCCCAGGAAGTTGTTGTGGAAACCTGATGACAGTTTTGTTGTTTCAACACTGACTAGAATTTCAGCTACTAATGATGGAAGGAGAAGAAAGAGAACATTGATCTGGATTTTTAAAATTAATGGTGATAACATTGTGCAGCTGAAATTGCACTGTGGACAGAGCTGGGATTCTCTTCTTGTCCTACAGTGCTAAACCAAAGCAAATAAACAAAAAGATTTCTCACTTACATGGCGATAGGACCATCTGCTGCCCAAGTAATAACCCAGAATAAAACAGTCCTTCAGGCACTGCGCTAGCTGGAGCAGCATGTATGCAATGCGCACAGTGATATAATTCACCTGCTGTGAGGAGAGAGGCTGCCTTATGTAAGGGGCTACCGTTTCCCTTTTCAATTGCTGGCTATGCAGCTTTTCAGTGCTCCCAAAGGCTGTTTCATTTCTCAGACTACCTTTAACCAGAGACAGCCTTGCGAGAAAAGTACAAGTCTTTAAGGCTAACGTTACAATCCAAGCAGAAGAGCTAGTCACACAAAGAGAAAGGGTTTTCAAAGCTTCAACTCATTTAAAATGACACATTCATTTCTGCAGTTTTTCTGCATATAAGCAAGTGAAGAACCTCATTCTGCATTCTACTGAACACCTCAAATACCCTTGACAGTCAATGAACATCTGAAGTCCAAATGAATACAGAATTAATTCCTAAGGCTGTACAGCAAAACAGGTCAGGAACCACCCGTACTACAAAAGTCACTGCGGAAATCTTTGAAATCTTGCAGCAGGTCAACTGAAACCAAGCTGCACTTCACTACTGGTTTTGTAACACACTTTTCATATTCAGACCCATTTGCCTTAACCAGCGCTTGCCCACAATATAGCATTATCATAAGTGCAATGACCTAAACTACCCTGATAAAAACTACAATAGGTAGGTCTATCCATACTCAGTAGCAGGGCATTCCTAGGACATTCTTCTAACCAGATTCTTAGCACCTTTCACTCTCCCAGGAGTCTTCAAAGGAGCTGATGGTACTTGGCTCCTGGGTCTTTTAAGCCTTTCCTTTTTCTACCACTGGAGGGGTAAGGAAAGGAGGGGGGGGGGGGGGGGGGAATAGAAAAGGACAGAATCAAACAAAGTCAACAACACACACATGCTCTCCTACACACAAACACACCCAAACAGGGGGAAAGAGAAAAAAAAGGAAAAAGGAAAGTTGTATGAGGTGCCAATCTGGAATGAAACAGATTTTTGAACAGACAGTCATATTTGGCACTGCCAGTAAAAGCTTGTGGGTGGCCCTGTGTCTCTCCGAGCCTTAATGCCCTTTTTAAATCGGTCATTTAAAAACATCCCCCAGAAAGTTCAGCTGTGCTGCTTCTGACATTATTTTCACAATGCTGCTGATTGGACTCAGTGGAGAGATCCTCTTCCCCCCACCCCAGTTCCATAAAGCACTATACATTAAGGACATATTCCATTTGGCCTTCAAGTAACATTTTTATGGTCCATGCAAATGCACAATTATTTTCCCTTTAGAAAGAAACAACAGAAAACAGAACACTCTGCTGTAGAGAGTTGAAATTAAAAGCTATTGGATCTCCCAAACACACTCCTACAATCCTCGGGCAGAAGACTGGAATAAAGGGTCCTCACACGGTTCTAGCTGCATTCTCAGTACACCACTTTTATGAAGAAACCAGAGCTGTAGAAATTCCTCTGGCATGGCATGGAATCCAGAATCAGGCAGGACATTGTCATAGTAATGGTGGCTAATAAACTTCCCATGCAGGTCCACCGAGAATGGCCAGAAGCCATAAATTGTTACTTCTTCACACAGACCAAGGGCGGCACTGACTAGGAAAAGTCCCGTGGAAAGCCGTTTGGCATGGATACCTTTGCTCTTCCAGAACTTGCCAATGTCCCGCAGGAAATTGGGGTTGGCAAAAAGGACCGCCTGCTTGGCGCCAAAGTCCTTCAGGGTGTAATAGACACGTAGGGAGGGTCCAGTCCCCGTCTTCATTGAGAAGGCTGGCATGTAGATGTAGCTGTGATTATACACCTTCACACTATCCACAAATGCTTTTCGAGACCACAGCAGATTCTGAAACCTGTGAAACAACAAGAGAAAAACAATTTGGTCACACAGAGGTTTTCCCAGTCATTTCAAAAAGCTGCTCTCCACAGCCATATTTAGAGTTAACAGCACATATTTCCCAAGCCCAGAGAAAGGCCAGATAAACTTCTGACTGTCTGACGCTGCCCCTCTTCTGAGATGATAAACTTTAATAGACACTTGAAAACTACCTGGTACCCTGCTAACTCCAAACCCTAAAACGTTTCTGATTTAATAATTTTTAAAATCCCTGACTGACCACAGGAAATATTCCTCAAAATCAATCCTGTTTAGTGACATTTTTCCTTTGTTCAAAAACCAACTTATATCTTTCAGGCATGGGAAGCTTGAAAAGAAATTTTAAAGTCCACCCTGTTCTTGCTTCTTAAAAGCATACTAAAAAAATATCCAAGTTACATGCTGAATAAGCAATACCAAGAAATATTTATATAGAAACTTTGGGCTTATAAAACTTGTAACACTTGTAGGAATTGTTTCTGTTATGCCTGTATAGTGACTTAGGTTACACTACCATAGTAGTTAATTCTCATTCTGGAACTGAGAATTCTCAAAGAACTTACTTTGTTACAAACAATAAGACAGAAATCGATTAATTGTTCAGGATAAGTGGCACCACAAAGAAAACAGCAACAGGCACCAGACAATATTCTGTGGTGTTTAAGATGTCACAATTTACACACTGAGTAGGTTTAAAAGCAGCTGGTATTTGTAGCATGCAAAGTAAAGGGGAAACTAGTTGGCAACTATGAGGAGGGCAACACCTATGTACAGGTTATTTCTCTAATATGATAGTTTCCTCATTGCTTGATATAAAAACCATATCAGGTTACATTTTTTTCAAATTGCCAATAACAATTTGCTGATATCTATTTTATCCCTGATGGGGATATAGACTTATAGACTTTTATTCTATTCCAAAACCAGTATCCTGTCAAAATACCTTTCCTTGCCATATGCTTCTGGATATGCCAGGATGAACGAGATACCTGGCAGGAAATCCTAGGTCATTCACACACCCCAAACCCTTCACTGATGTTTGACCTGTCCTGACATCTGACACTAAACAAATCACTTCTCAGTAAAATATTGAAGTATCCCAAATATGTATCATTAGATGTAACTGCTATGGAGATCGGCCAGAGTCATAATAAAATACAGTATCTAAAACACAAACTTGCTAAGTGACAGGAACACTTACTGTTGACTGCATTGGAGGGTACCTTTGCATGAGTAAGTCACTATGATTTACTCTGGATAATCTGCTTGCTTTCCAGAGTCCACACAATCTTCAGAGCACAGTAAACCCTCCCCACATCTAACACATGATAGCATCTATAGCCTGCAGCATGCAGGCAAAGTTTACTGCATTATAAGTCACTTCTGCACAAGCCTCACACTCTTTTCATTGCAGCTGGGTTGCTCTCCTGCCTGTGTTCCCTAACTTTTTTCTGAGCTCCCAGATGCCTGTCTTGCTCTTGTTATTACCTTTTCTCTGTTTCCTGCAGCTGGGGCAAATGTGTCACAATGGATTTCATAGACAGGCAGCAGAAAAGAGGTGCAGGCAGAGAGATACGTATAAGAATACCTTTTTTTAAATGGTTATGAAGGGATCAATTTTATAGAGCTCTTTGAAACAATAGTAAGAATCACAGACGCAACAACATGCACAGGTTCAAGTAGAATGCCAGATGACCCCAAGAAGCACCATCTAAACTTTCAGCTGAAACAATTGTCAGCAAAAAAATACATGGCTTCAACAGCCTTGAAGTGTCTCACAAATATGTGCCTGTTCTTTGAAGTCTTTGTTTTAGCAGAAAACTCAAAATATTCCTAATAAGTTTAAAGATTTTGTTGACATTTTCAACATGCAATATTTGGTCTCCTGATTTCTTATAAGCTTCTTTCAAAAATTCCTTCACATAGAATTAGAATACTGTTCCACAGTATTTGCTTGTTCCACAGCAAAATCCATGAAATCTGCCTGGGTCTTCATTACTGTTTTGCTCTGATGATCTGCTTTGTCTACATGATGCTATTTGCTAATGTAGACAAAGCCACTGCCTTCCAAGCAAGAAATTGATTCAACCTGAACACACAAAACAAAGCAATAAAAATAATTTCATAACTTACTGCATTTGGCATTCTTTTCTGTAGAAGTAGCCAAGACACAGATGAAAATAGAAGGCCAGCCAAGACCAAGGTGCCCTGGCAGAAATTCATTGTCTGGCTGTACTTTCTCATATGGGCCCTGCCACTCCATTACTATTAGACTTTTAACTAAGTATTCCAAAAAACAGGCTTTACCATCCTCTCTTTCAAAGGAGGAAGCAGGATGACTTGCCAGATACTAAGGAACAGGAGTTGGGTCCATTCTATCAAACTTATTTCAATTCCATCAGAACATAGTCACTGAGAATAAAAGGGAAAAAACCCTGGCTTAATACTTCCAATATTCACCCAGGTGCTCAGACCCTCAGTATCCAAACCCTGTTCTAATAACCCTAATTTCTTTTAAAAGGTAGAATAAGATCTACAGCAGGCTTTTGGACTACCGCCCTCCCCATAATCTGGAACATCCACTGGAAGGTGAGTGATGCAGTTTCAGACTTCTCTGTACAGTAAAAGGAATTCAAGCACACAGCTTGATGTCATGGGGTCTTCACACCTCGGCTGAGGGGAAGGCAGAGATGGGTCCTCTTGTCACTCCTGGAAGCCAGTTGTACCATGTCCTTTCCCACTTAGAACTAGTGAATAAATTTAACTTCAGAATGCAAATGGATGTGGTTATTCTAAAACTGCATTTTTCAGCAAATGTTCTGTTCACAGAAAAACACTGTGCCACTCTAAGTTTAATACATTAAAATTGATCAGATGCCTTCACAGAGGGCCAGGGACTGTCTCTGAATATTCATTATTCATTTGCTATCATGGCCACAACACATTTACATTTTTTTAGATTAATTTCCCCAAGTGCCTTAGAGTAATGAGAATTGAATGGTACTGCCACAGGAGCAGTGCCTGAGAAGGACTTCACACAGAAGGGACAGTATTTGTCATGCTGCTGCAAACTGTCCTTCAGGAACACCATCACCTCCTGCAAACCCATGCCTTATTCCAATGATCTAGACTGCAGTGTTCGTAGGCATCACTCCCAGTTCAACAGATGGACATTATACAGGTGGCTAGCAGCCCATGTAGAAACATAAAACATGCTGATTATGGCTGGTCTGGTGGTCTAACACAGCCAAAAAGCTGCTGCCCACCTTGCACTCCTCCTGCAAGTAGATATTACAAGCAAATGAATTTTTCTCTTCCCCATTTATAAAAATAGGAGCCCCAGCCAGCTTCCTGACATTTCACAGACTGGTTAGAGGCTGAGAAAATAGAGGACAAATGCTGTGCATCAGCAACTTTCTAGAAATGGCACTAGAAGCTCAGATACATTTTCCTTTAACTCCCAAGTCAGACAGGGAGTCCTCCAGGCAACCCATTCCAGGTGGCTTTCAGGGTAGCATACTGCATCTGTTCTAGCAGACAGCTAGGAGCCTACCCCATGCCTGACAGACTAGGAGAAGTTTTCTTCTACAGCTGACCAGCTCCACAGAGCATGCTAAGCAAGATAATGTGTTTTTTTTCCTGCTTGTCCTGGCATGGACACCGCCAGCCTGGTGCAGTCCTTGCATCCAGATAGAATCGACTAGGTTGGAAAAGACCTTTAAGATCATGAAGTCCAACCATTAATCTAGCACTGCCAAGTCCTCCACTAAACCATGTCACTAAGGGCCTCATCTGCATGGTTTTTAACACTTCCAGGAATGGTGATTTCACTATTTCCCTGGGCAGCCTGTTCCAATGCCTGATCACCCTTTTGATGAAGAATTTTTTTCCTAATATCCAGTCTCAAAGTCCCCTTGTGCAGCTTGAAGCCATTACCTCTTGTTCTGTCACTTGCTTCTTGGAAGAAGAGACCAAACCCCTCCTCCCTCCATCCTCCTGTTAGGTAATTGTAGAGAGTGATGAGGTCCCTCCTGAGCCTTCTCTTCTCCATACTAAACACCCTCAGGTCCCTCAGCTGTTCCTCATCAAACTTGTGTTCCAGATCCTTCACCAGCTTTGTTGCCCTTCTCTGGACCCACTTCAGCACCTCAATATTTCTCTTGTAGTGAGAGGCCCAGAGCTAAGCACAGTGTTCAAGGTACAGCCTCACCATGTGCACAAACACCTTCCCTCATGCCAATCCTCTCCCAGCCTCCTTTAAATGAGGAGCCGCTAGCTCCTAGTGTTTGCGTTTACCCGACATGCTTTGAGCATGGGGTACTCCCAGCAGCACAGCCCAGAAGCTGTGCAGCTCATCCCCACACACCAGGCTTCAAAAGAAATACATCAAATAACCCAATCCCTCATGCAAGAATGCCTCTTGGGTGACATTATCTCTCTAGCTCAACTCTAAGAAAGAAACAGCTGAACTGCTTTCAGGGTCATCCTCTCACCTCCTTCAGTCAAGCTCGCACAAATTCATGGTGGGCTGCTAGCATCTAGGTAAAACTGGATTTGGAATCTCCTGAGCAGCACCTGAAGACTATATGAGTAATTTGCAGTAAATGCATCCAGGCAGCTTGACAGCAGCCCAGAGAAGCACTGATGACCGTGGACACTCATGAAAGCTGATCATGGCACGTTCAGCCCAGGCGCTTCACTTTTACTACACTCATTAATGAACAGTGAGCAAATAAACTCTCATCAGCAACACATTTTTGCCATCAGATCCATATGACAGATCAACTTAAAAAGCACAACTTTCAACAGGCACATGTAGGCACAGCTGCACAGATATTAAGGGAAATAATTTCCCTGATACCAGTTGTATAGTTCCCTTAAATGCTCTGCTCTACTTTTCCAGAGGAAATGCATCTAAGAGGAAATTGCCACAACACGTTGTCATGACAGTACAATCAAAGACTTAAGAGCATTAAA